GGGTCATTACTTCAAGGCAGTGGCTTCTCTTTTGATCCAGGGTGTGTCTAGAAATGTCCTCTGAGAGCGAGGGCCGGAACAGGGGCCTCACAACTGACTCAGAGCACTTTGACCCTGGGTGGCAAAAGATGATTCCCCTCTGACTACAGTTGGTTTAAAGGCTTCCTCTGGGATAGCAAGGGGAGAGATGCCAGATGTAGGTGATGGGGAGGAGGGCAGCAAATCACACTGCCACGTGTGTACCTATGCAACAATCTCACATGTTCTTCACATGTACCCCCAAACCTAAAATGCAATAAAATAAATAAATGGAAAAAAAAAAAAAAAGGCTTCCTCTGTGGGTAGGTGTCAACCGAGTTTGGTCTGGTTTTTCTTTCTACTCTAACAGGATAGCACTAAATTAAATGCCTCACAATTGCTGTGCTCTCCCTCCCCCAGCACCCAGAGACACGTGGTCTGCAGTACACCGCTGCTGCTGGGTAGGAGGGAGGGGTGTCATTGGGGATTCAGGGCTCGTTTTGCTATCTCTTCAGTGCCTCCTTCAGTGATATGAAGTTAAAACCAGGTACTGAAAGTGCTGACCTGATTTTTAGTTCTCATGAAGGTGTTTTTTCTGCGTACATAGTTGTTAACATGGTGTCCCTGGTGGGAGTGGTGTAGGGGAGGGAGAAGATTGGTGGAGCTTTCTATTCTGCCATCTTGATCTGCCTGTCTTTCTACACTATAGCTTTGTGGTTAAGTTTTAAAATCAGTCTTCCAAGTTTGCTCCTTTCAAGATTGTTTTTGTTATCTGTGGTCTCTTGCATTTACATATGCATTCTAACATTAGCATATCAATCACTGCATAAAAGGCCATTGGGATTTTGATAGAAAATGCATTAAGTAAGTAGATCAATTTTGGGAGTATTGTGATTTAAACAATATTACATTTTTAATTTTTTAATTTTAAAAATTTTTCTAGAATTTATCTTTCAGAGCTGCATTTCTAATAAAATGTTACTTTTCATTCTTAAAATGTATAAAAGTATTTCATCTTTTTATTTTAAACAATTTTGTACTACTATTTTTTGTAATATTTTCATTTGTAGAACCTTATAATCAGAAGCAATATAAACAATAAAAGTAATATTAAGTCTTCTAATCCATGAACATAGGGTTTTTCCATTTTTTAGGTCTTTTAAATTGTTTTCAATTATGTTTTGTAGTTTTCAGGGTATAAGATTCATACTTTTGTTAAATTTATTACTATTTTACTGTTTTTAATGCTATTTAAATGGAATTTTTTATTTCATTTTTTGATTGTTCATTGCTGGTGTACGTAAACACAATTGATTTTTATATATGGATATTGTATCTTGCAATCTAGCTGAACTTATTTATTCACTCTAATTATTTTTTGTAGATTCCTTAGGGTATTCTACATACTAGATTATATCATATTGAGGAAGGAGACCCAGGCATCTAGGATCACCTCCCCCTTGACTTCCACACTGCATTTCAATAGAAGAAAAGGCTGGGCCTACTGGCGCCTCCTAAATCACTTTCCTATAAGATAGCAGGCATGGTATGGGGGAATCTCTCTAGAAGACACTGTTTTTACTTAAACACGATTAAAACCCCACCCCACTCTTCCATGGACCAAGACCCTTTGATATGTAATTTCTAAAGCTGTAGACCCAATACCCTTTCATATGTGATTTCTAAAACTGTAAACCCAAGACCCTTTCACTTGTAATTTCTAAGGCTGTAAACCTAAGATTCTTTCATGTATAATATCTAAAGTGTAAGCCTATATAAAGGCAGAGCTTCTGTTTGTTAGGTAAGCTTGGTCATTTATACAAGTTGTCGCCTGGCTCCCATCCGTAATAATAATAATAATAATAAACACTTCTTCCTTCCCAGTTCGGTGTTCGAGAGGTCTATTTCTCACAGCCGCTCTTGCTTCAATATGTGAATAGAAATAGTTAACTTTCTTTTCTAATCTGGATGCTTTTTATTTATTTTTCTTGGATAATTATTCTAGCTAGAATGTCCAATACAGTTTTGAATAGAAATGGTGAGAAGGGACATTCTTGTCTTGTTTTTGATCTTAAGCTTCCATCCCTTCACCATTAAATATGATGTTAGCTGGGGTTTTT